CACAGTGTTTATCAATCACAAGATGACGTACAATGTCTACATTCCCTGACTCACATGCTGAATGGAGTGGTTTACTTTGATCATTATCTTCAGCTTCTATATTGCATTCAGTAGAACTGGTAAGAAATTGAACAGTCTCAAAATTAGGATTTAAACATGCCAAATGTAATGGAGTTAAGCCATCCTTCCGCTTAGCATTAACATTACAGTGTTTATCAATCACAAGATGACGTACAATGTCTACATTCCCTGATTGACATGCTAAATGGAGTGGTCTACTTAGAAGACCACTTTTAGCTTCTATATTGCATTCAGTAGAACTGGTAAGAAATTGAACAGTTTCAAAACTACAATTTAAACATGCCAAATGTAATGGAGTTAAGCCATCCTTCCGCTTAGTATCAACATCACAGTGTTTATTAACCACAAGATGACGTACAATGTCTACACTCCCTGATTGACATGCTAAATGGAGTGGTCTATTTTGATCATTATCTTCAGCTTCTATATTGCTTTCAGTAGAACTGGTAAGAAATTGAACAGTCTCAAAACTACAATTTAAACATGCCACATGTAATGGAGTAAAGCCATCCTTCCGCTTAGCATTAACATCACAGTGTTTATTAACCACAAGATGACGTACAATGTCTACACTCCCTGATTGACATGCTAAATGGAGTGGTCTATTTTGATCATTATCTTCAGCTTCTATATTGCTTTCAGTAGAACTGGTAAGAAATTGAACAGTCTCAAAACTACAATTTAAACATGCCACGTGTAATGGAGTAAAGCCATCCTTCCGCTTAGCATTAACATCACAGTGTTTATTAACCACAAGATGACGTACAATGTCTACACTCCCTGATTGACATGCTGAATGGAGTGGTCTATTTTGATCATTATCTTCAGCTTTTATATTACATTCAGTAGAACTGGTAAGAAATTGAACAGTTTCAAAACTACAATTTAAACATGCCACGTGTAATGGAGTTAAGCCATTCCTCCCTTTAGCATTAACATCACAGTGCTTATCAATCACAAGATGACGTACAATGTCTACATTCCCTGACACACATGCTAAATGGAGTGGTCTATCTTGATCATTATCTTCAGCTTCTATATTGCATTTAGTAGAACTGGTAAGAAATTGAACAGTCTCAAAATTAGGATTTAAACATGCCACATGTAATGGAGTAAAGCCATCCTTCCGCTTAGAATTGACATCACAGTGCTTATCAATCACAAGATGACGTACAATGTCTACATTCCCTGATTGACATGCTAAATGGAGTGGCCTATCTTGATCATTATCTTCAGCTTCTATATTGCTTTTCGTAGAACTGGTAAGAAATTGAACAGTTTCAAAACTACGATTTAAACATGCCAAATGTAATGGAGTTAAGCCATCCTTCTGCTCAGCAGTAACATCACAGTGTTTATCAATCACAAGATGACATACAACGTCTACATTCCCTGATTGACATGCAAAATGAAGTGGCCTGGTTTGATAGTTATCTTCAGCTTCTAAATTGCATTTGGTAGAATTGGTAAGAAATTGAACAGTGTCAAAACTACATCTTGCACATGCTACATGTAATGGTGTATAACCATTTATCCCTTTAGCATTAACATCACAGTTTTTGTCAATCACAAGATGGCATACAATGTCTACATTATTAAACTTACATGCATAAAGTAACAATATTCTCTCTTTATAAAGGTTATTTAAAAGTTTCATTATATCTGGTTCTGCTAGTTGCTTTGCTAATGCCATACATTCAAATAAACCATCCTGACTCACTTTCTTTCCTAATATTAAAACTATTTCCTTGTGTCCTTGACATGCTGCATAATGAAGTGGTTTGTTTCCTTCCTTGTCTTTAGCTTCAATGTCACACTGTGGTTTAGATATCAAATATTCTACTATTGACAGTGATCCATTATAACATGCTTTATGTAATGGAGTGGACCCAGTTCGCTCTTCTTTGACATTAATATCACAGCCAGTAGATTCAATGAGATGCTTCACTATTTCTAAATGTTCTTTATCTGTTGCTGCTAGTAGAGGGTGTCTCTCATTATTACTATTAAGGCGGATTTACAATATTACGCTAGTCCTGACGTTACGTTGACGCTGGAATAGAATCTGGTTCTATTCCAGCGGAAAGCATGCATCAAAAGGTCAAATCGCCCACACTTTTGATTAAAAATTGACGGTGCACTGGCCTAATGTCATATTGTAAATCCGCCTTTAATGTTACAGTTTGGTTGTCCTGTTAAATACTCTACTACTGGTAAGTGATTATAAATACATGCCATATACAGCGGAGTATTGCTATACTTATCCTCAACATTAATATCGTGGTTGCATGATTCAACAAGATACTTGACAATATGTACTTGCCCAAATTCTGCTGCAAAATGAATGCTTGTTCTACCCCAAGAATCTTTTGAATAATTAATTTGAGGAAGAGATGTCAAATACTCTACAATTAATAAGTGACCCCAACGACAAGAACAATGCAATGCAGTTGAACCATTACAGTTACTAATATTAACATCCACACCTCTTTCCACCAGACCTTGTACTAATGATAGGTCACCTACAGCATCAAGTAATGGGCTTATATTGTTATCTTTAGTTAATGTTTCACAAAGGCAGTTGGGTTGACTAATAAGATATTTAGCTATTGATACACAACCATATTCAATAGAATAGCTCTGTGTAGAGGAGTGTACCCATCACTATCTAACCTGTTTATATCAAAGCCTAAACTAACAATAGTAGTGAAGTATTCTAGATTACCTGATGTAGCTGCTAAATGAAGTACAGTTGTCCTTCCATCATTTAACTGAAAGTATTCATTATCCATTGGAAAGAGTCTTAGGAGGTATTGAGTGTGTTTATGTTTATTACACGTGTCCATCATATCTCTAAGTGTTATTTTCATTAATAATAATCGAATAACTTGCCAACTAGCAGCATCGTCTATACATTTAATGATATTATCAATACTGAATGGACCATACCCTGAAACAGCTAGTTTCACTATATCAATATGATCAGCTTTACTAGCATAATACAATGGAGATAAACCAGCATTGTTAGTCAATTCAAATATATTATCTGTAGCTGGGGAACGTGACAGTAATAATTGAACACATTCTATTATTCCAGTACTACAAGCTAAATGAAGTGGCTTATTACCATCATTATTATTAACAAAGAGCAATGATACACTGAACGAGGGAATTACAGTCAAAAGACGCCCTAATATTCTTGGCCCGTCAGTATTATTGGTACAACACAAGTGAAACAATGTGTTACCTTCATCATTAGTAGTAAAAGGAGACGCTCCAGCATCAATCAGACTAATAACACGATCAATATCACCTGAAGAATGAGCAGAAAAGAGATCAGTAACAACTTCAACCGCATCCATTTCCTAATTACAAGCCACTCCCTAAAGCCAGTCGCAGAAAGGGGTGTGCTAAGGTTACCTAGCAACTTAAGCATAGATATTAGAGTACAGATATTAGATTTATACTCGACTATCTATGACTTAAGTTAACTTTGTGCTTTTGCACAAAGTCTAACTTGCTATTAATGGTATGCATCTACATGCATCATATTAACTGCATGGTTTCTTTATAAATGAAAGG